GTACGTATCTATGTATGTATGCATGTATGTATCTATGTATGTATGTATGTATGTATGTATGTATGTATGTATGCGTGATATTTACTCATGTATATGGACATACCTGCATATCTGCAGAATCAATCCTTCCACCTAACTGTTCTAACTGTTTGTCCATCCATCTATTCGTCTATCATCATCATCATCATCATCATCATCGTCATCGTCATCATCGTCATCATCGTCATCATCATCATCATCGTCATCATCGTCATTATTATTATGATCATCACCACTATCATCATGATCCTCTTCATCCTCACCATGATGATGATGATGATGATGATGATGATCGTCATCAATCCGTCTATCCATCCATTCATCTATGTGTCTATCTGTGGGCTGTCGTCTTTCTGTCTATCCGTCCGTCTATGCATCTATCTGTCTACTCTATCTGTCCACCTGTCTATCTGCCTACCTATCTACCTATCTACCTATCTACCTATCTGTCTGTCTTTCTTTCCTTACCGACCGACCGACCTGACTACCGACCTACCCTACCAACCTACCGACCTACCGACCTACCGACCTACCGACCTACCGCCCTTTCGACCTACCGACCTACCGACCTACCGACCTACCGACCTACCGACCTGGCCGACCTACCGAGCTACCCACCTAGCGACCTAGCGACCTAGTGACCTAGCGACCGACCGACCGACGGACCTACCGACGAGCTACCGACCTACCGACCTACCGACCTACCCACCTACCGACCTACCGACCTGCCGACCTGCCGACCTGCCGACCTACCTACCCACCCACCCACCCACCCACCCACCCACCCACCTACCTACCTACCTACCTACCTACCTACCTACCTATCTACCTACCTGTCGAACCATCTATTTGTCTATCTTCCCGTCGTGTCCCGCAAGCCAAGGTGATGAGAACAACCTGGTGCTTAATATTGCTCCAAACTTCAGCCTGCCCAATTGCAGTCTTCAATGCCTCGACCCTCCCGTCAACTTGACGGAGGTCCGAACTTACGGTGTAGGTCCTAGGGTTCAGGCTGCTTGCAGCGGGTTTGAGGTCCGGGGCCTCCGAAAGCGAAGTTTGGGTTGGAGGAGTTGCACCCTATTCGTATTTTATGTTGGGATTCGTGCTGTACAGATATCCCCAAGTCGCACTGGATTATGCAAAGCGCAGGCGTACGTGGAGACTGCAGATGGCTGGGAGTGCAACTCGACCGGCTACCTGGGAACAGTGGTGTCTTGACTTTTTTAAGTGGCAGCCCAGATTGGAGGTGCAAAGTGCGGGGAATAGCTGTTTCAGACCAAGACAGTCGCCAGGTCAGTTCCTGCTATGCTGACTCCTCGTGCACTGGGATCCTTCTGCTCTCCGGTTGCCTTCCGATCGTGCCCTGCCTGACGCCGGATCCGCGAGCTTTCGACCAGTGCCAGTTCAACTTCACCGGCCTGCTTCTCAGAGCGGGAAGAGAGACGTCCACAACAAGCATGATCGGCGAGAGCTTGGAGTTCAGAGTCCATGGCGTGCCGCCACAGCATTTCGAACGGACAGGGCTTATGAACACGATGTGATTCTAAGGTTGTGACCAGTTGACGCCCGGAACCACCTGCAATGTCTCCTGCCGAGATCCATACGTAGGCTCGGTCGCCAGGGTCGAAACCTGAAGCCGGAACTCCAAGTCCGAGCTCATCTGCGCAGACTTACAGTCTGGAGGTAACAGCACCATGGCAAGCTGCAGGGAGCAGTGACTTGTCTCAAGAGCACCATAGCCTCTTCAGACGAGCACCCAAATCGTTTGGAGAGGGTCGGAATGCGTGGAACAGCTGAGGAACGTGGATCCGCTGGAACCCCTACAGTTCGAGAGACCCATTTGCAACCTTCTGTGCCCGGAGCCGGACCCCGTACCTGAAGGCATGGCGATGCCTGGCTTGCTTTAGGATCACCGGAACCCTTAACTGCATGCTTTGCAGGCTACATCCGTGGATCAGACTCCTGGACGTGTGCACCAGGCAAGATTCACCAAGTGTGAACACGGTGCATGACCACAGTGCGAGAGGTTACACCGGCATCGCTTCTGCCAGCTGCTACATGGACCGGTTCTTCTCTGGCGGAGAAGCGATTTGCATCACCAGGACTGGCAGGATTTGGGGCTTTCCGCAAGCAAATGATGATGACGTGCATTGTAGCTCAGGACGGAGTTGACGGGGTGTGTCCAACTTCAACCTTGTTGGTTTCCGCCCAGCTGCCCGGCAAAACTGTGCTCCGCCTTTCCGTGTCTCGGGATCTGCAGAAGTCCCAGGCGACGTCTGCGACTTTGACACCTCTGACTGCAGTATGGTGCCCGCTGGGGGAACTTGCCAGGCCGTGTACACGAGACCAACCTGGATAGTTTTGTAGTTTGCTGCATGTAGCAGAGCGTTGTCGGGTAGGCTAAAGCTAGTTTGACACCATCTGGGGGTGTTGAGCGCCTTCACGACTTTCTGTGCAAATGGCTTGTTGTGGCCATGGCTACATCGCAATCCGTTGCTGCGCTTTGAAGTGGCAAGTTGTAGCGTACATGCTTGGACCTGCGCAGCAGGGCAAATTGCATTCGTTTGTCATGTCAGGTCTTCTGCCGGGTGCCGATGGGAGGGGGGCCTGCAGTTGGCTACTGCCCGTCCACCAACACGGATCCCAACACCCTTGTCGACGTGCAGATGCCGCGCCGTAGCTGAATCCGCCAGTATCGTCACTTCCCAGATGACATGCTGCCCCGAAGCCAAGGAACTGTTTCCTCGACTGCCCCATCCCGGAAGAACTGCCGGAGGTCCCGGCTGCAAACCGCAGTGCAGAGTCATAGGGAGCATAGGACGGATACCGTTCATGGAGCTTGCCGTGGTATCCAGTCTGGTGCTTCGTGCAGGAGTACAACGTGAGCTTCACAGCCGTGCGTGAAGACGGTTTGGTGGTGTCAACCTTTTCTACCGACCCTCTTTCCGGACGACGTGCGCGAATCGAGCGGGAGGGCTACTTCATTTGCGCGGCCACTTGTCTTCGGTGGCCTTTTCCTGTCATGCTCTGAAGGCTTTGGCTAAGGAGTGCAGAGTCTTCTTTGTGGCCCCTATAAAGGGCATGCCTTCCTTATGTCAGGAGCTGCATGCTGGCAACCTGACGGTGACGTGCTCCCTCGCCACTCGGACTAGTCCGCTGCAGCAAAACGCAGGCTCTCATCGCTTATCCAGAGACGTCAGCTTCGCCCGGTGAGTAGCACGGGGGCCTTCCTTGCATGACGCCTCCCTTTCTAAACCCTATACCCTTAACCCTAAACCCTAAACCCTAAACCCTAAACCCTACACCCTAAACCCTAAACCCTTCCGTCGACCAGGACTTGAATTGCCAGTGGCGCATCGAGTTTGCGGGTTGCAAGCCGACAGTCGCCTGCCAACCTCTGGATCTCGCGACGCCACCCTGTGGTCTTATCGGCCCGGGCTGTCGGCGACCCAGAGAACGGAAAAACTCGGTTCCCTGATGTATGTTGCTAGTGATCTGCGAGTGGGACTTTTTTGAACAATCCCAAGTCGGAACGACCTCAATATTAATATTTGTAGCTCGCAAAAATGCCTGCATTCAGCGTGTCGCAAATCTGGGTTGCTTTGTCGAATGGTGAAGTGTTCTCAGTTGTGTTCTGAGCCTCATGGAAAATATTATACATCATATATTTTATGAGGTGGTATTCTATATTACATATTATGTATCATGGTCTACATCTCAAGTTAAGTATTCCATATCTTGGTTGCCAAGGTGATGTTGTGGTGGCTGGGAAGAGCTGTGAGGTTTCTTGCCGCGAGAAGCAGTTGTCGGTGTCTGGCCGGGGCTGAGTAATTTGGAGTTTAGGGTACCAGATCTTCAAAATACAGGATCCTAAACCCTAAACCCTAAATCCTAAACCCGAACGTTCTGCCCTTACTCCGGGGAGCTTCTCGCAGGCATCCTGTGCTGCACCCTGCACGGGCCAGCCTGCGACACTCAGCTGCCCACTTGGTCGGAGCCTCGATTTTGTGGATTTCGCAAGTGGTGAAGCAGACGGCTTCGTTTCGGCAAATGGGCTCTCATGGGAGGCAACACAGATTCCGAGCAGAAATTGGTTGGAAGGATGCCTCAATGCGCAACAGAGTGCGATTTCGTACCTCCGGGCTGCTTGTTCTTGTTAGTGCGAAGGGCTGTGAAACATCAAGAAAGACTTGTCGCAGGCAAGATTTTGCAGATCTGATTGCTTGCTTTCTGCAGGTTATCGTCGCAACAGAGGAAGCTGGGATGGCTGGGACCCCTCCTTGCAAGGAGCAATCCTGCGCTTAGTACGTTGTTTTTCATGGGTCCTGGCACGATCGGTGGCTCCACCGAGGAATGTGCCGAGGGCTACATCGGATCGGCCAGCGTAAGATGCGTACCGTCGGGTGTTCACCTGAGGGAAACAAAGATGTACACAGCTTGGTAGAGCACCAAACATGCAAAAGTGCCAGTGGTCAGAGCTGGTCTCTCATGGCTTCCCTGTTGCTGCCTGTTGAGGCCCCGGGCGCGTTTGCGACACAGAGATCCGTCTCGACGGCTGCGATGAGATGTTGCCTTGTGGGGCAGGCATCGACTGCTAGGATGATTTAGCTTGGGCAAGCCCATTCCCGGCAGGCGTGTACGATGCATGCAAGTACGACTTGAGCGACTGCATGAATGTGCCAAGGATCCGAGGGGGGGTAGGGGGTTTGCTTGACTAGTTGCCTTCGCAGTAGCAGCTCTTGCAAGTATGCCTTGATACAGCCTACCCCCCCAGAGGTTTTGCATTTCGGTTGCCGCGAGGAGCGAAACATGCACCATCCGATGCCGCTATCCTTACACGGGCCCGGATTTCAATGCAAGCTGCCCTTCCGAGAACATCTTGGCTGCTTGTCGATACTGGCGAAGTCTGGGATCTTCGGGACCTTCTGGGATTTCTACGGTTTATGACCTACACTGCTCGTCTCGGCGTCTCAGGCGAATGATGGCCTTCTTTGGGACGAGGACCACTGTGTGTTGGCAGATTGCCCAGATCCGAACATCACGGAAGAGAGCTCCTTTGATCTTCTCCTGCAATAGTTCCAGTGCTGTGGATTTCGTGATTCTCTACATGCTCGGTGCAGATTCCGGGGTCATTCTTGTGTGGAATGGGGTACCGGGTATGCTGTATGCTCCTGTGGTGTAGTATGGTTTGTGGAACGTCGGTCCTCTCTACTCAACTCAGGTGTGGGATGGGTCGGCCTTCGTCTGTCGAGCTGGCTTTGTGGGCGAACCTGCCCGGCGCTGTTCCGCCATCGGCTCGCCGCCGGACTGCCGTGCTGAGGTCCGGCTGCATTCCTTGTGTGTGGAGTTTTGCTTGCCCAGTCTGCAAAGAAAGGCCGTGTTCGATGGCTGCGTGCCCACCCAGCCATGCACAGCACCCAATGCAGATGCTGGGCGACAAGACATGCATCTGAGTGAGAGGTGAGAGGTTGGAAGTGCTTTGTGGTGCTGGCAGCATCGCGGAGCTGCTAGTTCTCGTTGACTGCTCGACTTAGACCAAAGGATCCATGCCGCTACGAGTTGGATGAGTGCTCCATGTTGGGACCAGGCAGGGGCCAGTGCAATTCTCATCCGACTCGGAAGTGAACTGAGGGGGGGTGTGAAGCTTCCCTGTTGCAGGTGAGGCCTGTGTCCTGTCATGCAAGTTTCCATACATTGGGACTTCCAATGCCAGCGGCCACTGTCCGGCCCCGCACTGAGTTCTAGCAAAGAGGAGCTGCATGTGCCTAGCTTGGGTGGTAGCATCGTAAGCAAGGAGTAACTTCACTTCAAATTAGGATGCAATGTCAAATGCAGAATCTCCGAGGAGCCCGAGCTAGAGCTCATACACACATATGGGTAGTTGTCAAAATTATGGTCCCTTTTGGGGTACCCTAAATAATAGGTGCAGTATTATAATAAGGACCACAAAAGGGACCATAATTTTGACAACCACCTATATGTGTATATGCAAATAGTACAACTGACAAAAATCATATGAACACAAATCAAGTTTAAGAAAATACACACATAAGCAGATAAACGAACAATAAAGCAAACAAAAATACAAGAACTGGAAACAATTGAACCAACACCTAAGTTTAAACGAATAAATATAAAGGTATACAGATAGATAGACAGATGAATAGGTAAAGAAATAGGTAGATAAACTTGTAGATAGGTAGGGATGGGTAAGCAGATAGATTGATATATCGATAGATAGTTAGATAGACCGATAGAGAGACCACGCTGTATTTACGTGTAATCAAGTCTATGTACATACGACAGTTTCTGTCTATGTGTACGCAAAGTAAGCATCGTGTTTGTCTCGGCTTAGATATCATGATCGTATTATGGCTTAATGCGGAACGTGACATCGTATGCCGATTTAATTGCTGCGCATTATGGTTACAGTGTGCTTCCAGCAGTTTCCAGCAATCGGGACAATAGTCTCCATAGTCGGCATTGCAGCAGCCATATCCAGGGCGGCATCAGTGACTAGTGACAACCTATGGCAATGGTAGCACTATTATCAACACCCGTAGATCTGCTAGAGCAGTGCTTGTGGCTATACGATAGGGACAACATGAAAACGCATGCCCGCGGTCGCCTTGTAACTAGGAATCGCACTAGTGACAACAAGACCGAACTCAAGATCAATCACCTCTAATCGCGATGACACTGGTGTTGGTGCTGATGGTGACCATAATGCTCATGAAAGGTTCGTTGTTGGCGATGATGAGAAAAGAGACACGGAGGATGAAGATCAACAGTAATCGCAGGATCGTGATGGCGATGATGATGTTGATGATGAGGATGACGATGATGAGGATGGTGATGAGGATGGTGATTAGGATGGTGATGATGGTGATGATGAGGATGAGGATGCTGATGATGATGATGATGATGCCGATGATTGGTGGTGGTGGTGGTGGTGGTGGTGGCAGCTCCCCAAGTGTGAGGCTAACAACACAGAGCTCGACTTTCCGGTGCCGGTGGACGTGCATGACGATGGCTGCGAGCTGACCTGTGATGACCCGGTCTTGGCTCCGCCAGGCTGGAACAAATCCCGTCGAAGGGCTTAAGATGTGCTGCAAAACGGAAAGCCAGGAGCACAGAATGCACTTTTCTTCGGGTCTCTCTTGGTATCTCATGCACGGCAAGCCACTCATGTTTTGAAGTTGAAGGGAAAATGCCAGGGTTGTCACGAGTAGGCCACAGCAAGGAGACGGACTGTAACATGTGAGGAGACGAGACCCTGACTGCAAGGAACAAAACAGTTTGGTTCCATGATTTTGCCAGCATTCTCAGCATACCTTGATAGAAAGAGACTGCAACGGTAGAATCGGTTTTTGCAATTAAGCTGTTCTTACCTACTGCTAGTAAGCACTACACATAGATATGTCAGCTGTTAGTCTGCACAATCGAGCTGGGACCGCTAGAGGTCTCGCCAATGAAAAGATGCTTACCGGCCCAGCAAACACACAAGATTCCCACGTTTTGCCTTTGACGTTTGAGACGACATGTTTGCCTTGCTTATCCGGTCGGACTGGCTCAGATGGCGGTATGGAAGGTTACTCTTTTGAACCGGCCGTTTCCCCGTATCCCTGCCGCCCGGAACACGGGCAGCCGAGCGTCGATGGGACGAGCAGGGAGGGTGCTATCGGCTTTGTGAATACATCCAAGGTGGGAGCTAGGATTAGGGGAACCCTTGAGGATATAGACCCTCTCAATAAGGTCCCTTTTAAGAGAGCCAAAAGTAGGGTTCAGAAGGGGTACCCTTTAAGGGGTACCCCTAAAAATGCTGCCTACAAGGATATGAATGTTTCCATTCATTCGGCGAGCGGGAGGAAGTTGAAGATTCTGGTCAGGCCAGGGACTGAAGTCCTAGGCCTCAAGGCTGAAGTTGCCAAGTTCTGGCAGATCCCAGAGGTATGTCAAAATCTGCTTCTGGGAGCAAGGATCTTGCAGAACAAGGAGTTGCTGTCTTCGGATCTGGCTCCAGGTGAGGGATTTTTGGATCTGACGCTGCTGATCTCTGCTCCGCCTTGCTGTGCATCGAGAATTCTTCCTCCGTCTCGTGTGGTTTATCTCCATGAGCCCTACAAAGAGGGACGCAGGTCTGGGGGGCCTTCGCCGAATATGTCCGCGTCGGAAGCTGGCGTGACAAGTTGCGGGCTCTTAGAAGAATTGGGAAGCAGACACCGTTCTCGAAAGGGGCGCTGCGTGTGCCAGCTTCCCAGCACATGCCCACATTGCAAGCGCTTGCTGCTCTGCCGGGACCCAAGTAGTTTCACGTAGCGTGATGCCGATGGGTCCAGTTCTGGCATTTGTTTTTTTTCCGGTATTTCCTGCTACACTGCTAGGATGTTTCAACACTAAGGTGTCGGGAATGAAGTTGCGGCGGTAGTGAAGTTGCACCTTCACCGCGTGGCAAAGTCCTTTGCTGGCGGCCTGAATTTTCTGCTCGATGAGCATGGTCTATGCCTTCATGAAGTGGACGGTTGCTCGACATCCTGCTTGTCACTGGAGGCAGAGTCCTTGCAGTCCTTCGACGGCATCACAGCAGTTTTCCCGAAGGTCACGGAGTTTTCCTACCGTGGCGAGTGGTCGGGAAAGGGGCGGCAAGGTGCCCTACGAGGCCTCCGAGCCTGGCAGTCGACTCTTCGGAGCCTTAGAATTGAGCTCCTGCCAGGTGGGAGTTTCCGAAAATCAGGGGCAGCCTATCTTGGGGTCCTACTAAGGATCCTTCTATTTAGGTTACTATATTAGGATCCCCTCTTTTCGGAAACCCGCCAGGTGAAAGATCTTCTGGAGTGCTGCACCTGGGAAGCATCGCCTTGCGAGGCTTCAGTGTGTTGGAAGATGTCCGCTTGCACCTCCCAGCTGCCTCCCGTAGGCATCTGGCTGCACTTTCCAACCTGGCCAGCCTTCGTCAACTCATATTCTGGGGGACTGACGAAATCACTTCGGATCGTGATCTTGTCGACAAGGCATATCGGACTTTGGACTTTTCCGGCTGTCAGTTGCTGAAGCTCCTTGCGTTCAGGTCAATGGCCTTCTGCCTTCCTGATGAGCAAGATCATCATGGCTGCATGGCACTGGCCCTGCCGTCATCTTTGGAAGAGCTGGTGATTGTCAACGACATGGATGCTCTGTCTGGCTTGACACCCAGGCTGCGTCGTGATATCCTGGGGCGGCCGTATCGATTGGCTGAGTATGCCCCGGAGAGCAACTTCAGCTTTGAAGACCGGCAAGCTTTAAAGCTAATCTGCACCGCAACCCAGACACCGAGAAGAGTTTTGTGGGAGGTCGATGCCTCGTTTACATTGCAGCGTCCTGAAGAGATGGAAGCAGCAAGGTCATGTCGGCTGCAGATGTTGGCAGACCAGGCCACCGAGCACCATCGAAAGCGGATTGGACTTCTAGCGATGTTGGGCCTCAAGCCATCAAGTGACGCTCCTTTCCATGAAGGCGAGATGGTTTGGTACATCAGCATATTAGGACATCCCCTTCTGAGACGGTGCTCTGTTCGCAGGGTTGCACCAACCCCAAGGGATGGCAATGACGAGTTTGCCTACGACAACATCTACCTGACTTACTTGCTCGTGTCTCGGGACGGGGACGAAGCAGCCCCAACAGAGATTGAAGCTGACCCAATGTTCATTTTCAGGGCACAGCCGACGCCGTCCATGTTCCCAGGACTGCAGGCTCTCATGTCAACCTGCCTAGTGCAAGCAGGCGGCAATGACCGCCGGGACGCGGAAAGCTCGTGATTGAGAAATGACCTAGATCGGACATGGTCAATGTTGATTTGTGGCAGAAAGTGTCAGAAAACAGCTTGCATCCTTCGTCCATTCTTGTTTGGAGGCTATGACAAGGTCGGGAACTCCTTGCAATGTGCAGCCGGATATGCTGGGCGGGCTCATGTTCAGTGTGCCGCAGCCTCGTCTGTTGATGTGTGCACTTCGTTTATGCTGTGCATTACATGTAGACCTGCACTTTGCGCAACTCTGCCTAGTCTGCCGGACATGTGTAAATAAGCAAGAAATGCATCCAAGCCAACAATCACGCACACGCAGAGGTCGCTTTGTCGCCTCTTTCAGCGTTTTGTTACGTTCGGGTTGTGGTCTCTGGTCAGTTAATCTGGTGTTCCGGATCTTTTTTGTCGGTAGTTTTGTTGGGTTGGTCTCAGGCAGAAGTCCGAAGCCCTCAAAGCGACGTAACCAACGCAGAAGCATCAGACCGAGTCTCCCGAGTAGAACCTCAGATGCAGATGCCAATGTTCAGCCTAGGTCATCAATGAGACGGAGGTCATCAACGAAACTTGCGGTTCTTACATGACGCCTGTCGCAATTCTTTGGCCCCGGACTCCTTTCCCCACCAAAATACTCTATCCTTTTGGTGGTCGACTGCGGGGTTCGCATGTCATGCCGGGCGTGTCGAGGAATCTGTCGGGCTGCATGCAGATCCAACCTTGCCAGCCTCCTACTTACATCGACAAGTGCATGTACGAGGCGAGGCGGCTTATGGGTTTTGGCGTCTTGGGGCTTGGAGGTCACGTGGGGCCAGTCCGTGCCGATGATGCTCCTCGCCAGGCCGTGAATTGCGAGGATTTGCCATCGGGTGGCTCCTGTGCTATCATCTGCCGCTATCCATTCTATAGCCCTGATGTCCCTCGTCGGGGAAGGTGCGGACATGAAGCAGGAATATCATCAACGTTGTTGACGTGATTGTGAGCATTGGTAGCAGGAATCTTACCAAATACAATTTCTGTCAGTATCTGTCGACAGTGATTTACAAGAGAGGTAGACATTGCAACATTCGATCTTTGTGATACTGTTCAGTGCAGCGAGCAGTCATCGAAGTTGTGCTAATCACGACAGCACAAGCAACAGCCAATGAGGTGCAAGTACCCTGAGTTGCTGTGAGCCAAGGTCTATGAAGATGGTCTGTTCTGCCCACAGGATGTGAGGGCTACATGAACAAAGCAGCGGCTAGCAGCGTTGTAGAACTGTTTCCGTAGCGATGCAGACGTTGAAGTTGGACTGTCCCCAAACCGTGTAGCCAGGACAATGTGGACCCATTGAAGGAGGTGGAAGTTCGTCAGATTCCGACTTGTGAGCTCTTCTGTCCAAGCCCGCCGCCACCGCCGGGCTGCTTGCTTTTCCTCTGCTGTGTTTTGGTCTTCAGTGTTTGGGAACTCCCGCGTCAGTTCTTCTCTTAATGCCTCACTTTGGGGAAGAACACCCGAGCCGAAATGAGAACTCAGGCTACATCAAGCTTCATGACTTGTTGCTGGAAACCGAGAACGGTACGGAGATCAACAGGCAAGAACTCGAAGGGTGTGATGCCTCTTCAAAGTGCAGCAGAAGGTCATAGCTATAGCCAAAATCCTAAACCCTAAACCCTAAGCCCTAAATCCTAAACCCTAAACCCTAAACCCTAAACCCAAAGATCACCAAAAGATGCAGGGATCCGGCCTACACCTGTGCACCTGGCTGGACTGGCACCCCGAATCACACCTGCTCCGTAAACAGTGACTTGGAAGCCAGGATGAAGGGCTGGTGTAGGGTTTAGGGTTTAG